GTTTTTCAACGGAGGTTTTCGCCGATTTGTTCACTTTTCGGAGGGGGTTTGCCTCCAGCCCTCATCAGCGGCTGGTTAGATTCCCTCGATGAACAAAAAAAAGTCAAATCTCAAAAAATTTTCGTTGCGGGCACCACCGCTTAACGCGCGCGGACGATGTAGACTAATGCACCTGCGCTGATAATGGGCCTGCTATGAGCGCCGCAAGAAAAGGAGCTTTAGATGGAGAACTTTCCTCTCAAAAGTTTTTCCAGGTAGGGTAATTTACAAAAGAAGCATGCAAATGTTGCGGATGCAGAAGTCTAAGACAGGAAACTTTCTTATTAGAATTGGCGGTAATATGGAATATTAAGTGGATGATTCCGGGATAATTTTTCATCCAACACGTCCTCGCAGCTCAGCATCCAACAGAAAAAGGAAGTTATGAACTTAGATGCAAGACGGATTAAGCTACCTGCCGACGTTTTTGACAATAGTTGTCAAAAGTTGGTGAAACTATTTGCTGAGAGCGGAGTAATCAAAGTTGCATGCAGAAGGGTGTATCGCATGAGAGAAAATTTGTTTGTTTTGCTGCTTGTGCAAACCTAGACGTGTTGGTTGGAAAAGGTTTGATAGGATTAATAAGCAATACTGTGGTATTTTTGGTGATCGTTACACTCCACAGGAAAACACTGATGTCGTGATAACCATGTCACAAAATATATTTCCAATGGAGACCGCCTATTTCTGATGGGCTGCAATATATGTCAGCGATTATTGCTTGACATCTATTGCAGGCATTTCAATAGTTTGACAGCCATATTTTCATTTGAAAGAAAGCTTGCTGGTGGTAACATCGATGAAATTTTGATATTAAATCAAAATAAAAATCTGTTCCCTATTGGATTATTTATGATTACGTTTTAGGAATTTATTCAGAAAGTTTTTTAAAGATTTAAATGTTTTTAAACACCGAAATTGAGAGAATGTTGTCTAGTGGCGTCATGCGGCAAATGCTTATTTCAAGATATCAAAGTGCCCACACACAAAAACTTGCCATCATATTGCTCGTCAAAATGACAGTTGGTAGGCCATCGGTTTTGCCTGTGAAATTCTGCGGGAATGAGACTGAGTGCGTGGAAATAATAGGTGCGTTCGTTTAAAATCTCCAGTAAAAACCAACCAACTGCCACATTCCGGCAAAATGTCATCTGTTCTCTCACAAGAGAAAAATATCCCAAATAGTACGCGAACAGAAAATCTGCAGAAACTTGCAAGTTAGACGAACAGCTGATATAATTTTTGTTTACATTCAAAAGTGTAAAATTTAAAACGTACGAAAAGTCATTACAAAGTGCTATACTGACACAGTTTATTGATTAAAAAAATAACTACTTATTTCTTACAAGTTTAATTATTCGCAATTTGTAATTTTTAACTTCCAACCATCAAATTCAATTTTGTGATTTGCGTAAATGCCAACCAGCTGTTTTTGATCAGCTGTTTTCCTGGTGGCAAATTGCTGTTGGCAAAAATTTTTCCAGCAGAAACCAGCAGCAAATGTCACTTTGCTCTCTCAATTTCCCCTACTTTGCAAGTTTTTTGCGTACGCGAACATGAACAATTAACAGCTACGCGAACGCAACTAATTTCTCCGCTACCGCTGGTTGTATATTGGTGAAACACGCGTGTGGTCACAGAGCGCTCAGTAAGCTATAACATGTCGATCACTGCGTTAGGTAGAGAAAGAAAAGTGTGTGCCACGACATGCCCAGACTTGTTTGTCTCAGTTTAAGTTATGCCATCGCCGCGAGTTGTTGCGCATAGTTATTTAAAAATATAAGGTTTGATGCCAACCGGGGCTTATCAGTGAATATATAATTCATGTGAATTATAATTTCAAAGTATCTATTTAGCCAAGGATAAAGCAAAGCAGTGTACTTAAACCAGCACTTCCAGCAGATATTTACCTGGGTTTTCGGACGACTGTTCCTGTTTCACCGTTTATTTTTAGGAAATTCTTACCACCATATACATATGTATTATTTACACTGGTAGCTATTTATGTAAATATTAATGTATTTTTTATGCTTAATATATGCAAATAAAAGAAGATAGTAAATACAACAACCATCGAGTAAATTTTTATTTGTGTCAAACTGAAACTTTTTTCCTATAATAAACGGTCTACAGCAAGTTCACAAAATTAATCGAAAACTTGTATCAACCAAAGCATTGTTTATATTTGCTCAGCAATGATTTTATTCAACTAACAATATTGTCCACTCAAGGTAGTCGTTTTGTAATTATTAACAAATATACATTTGTCCCAACTAGAAGTCTCAAGTAAATTGCAGACTTTCGTGAACTAGATATTTATTTCGCCATATCCAAATATGCCACTTGGTCACTATAACCAAATCTTGGTAATTATAACTAAACCTGAGTGTAGTACGCGAACAGAAAATTTGCAGAAACTTGCAAGTTAGACGAACAGCTGATAGAAATTTTGCTTACATTAACAGGTCTATTCTGCACGTTACCGAAGATTTTGTAACCGGAAAATTTTATTAGCAAAAAATGTTACCACTTCTTGTTACCGCGATTCTAGGTACGTTGGTAATGCAGTGAAAATACTCAGCAACTCAGTTATGAAGATTTGTGGAAATTCCTCTATTGCATATTTCACGGGGCAATATTTTGTTACCAGCTTATGAGATGGTAATCAAATTTACCGGTTACAAGAGAGCACAGAATGCAAAAAAGGATTAAAAACTGACAGACACTTTAATTACCGGTTATAGACTTTATGTTACCAGCGCAGAATAGAACTGTAAAAAGTATAAAATTGAAAACGTCAGAAAACAAATGCTGAACTCTTATCCTGACACAGTTCACTGACTAAATAAACGAATAATTAATTATTTCTTACAAGTTTAATAAGTCGCATTTTACTATTTCAACTTCCAAACCATCAAATTCAATTTACGGATTTGCGTAAATTCCAGCCAGCTCTTCTTGATCAGCTGTTTTTTTGTTGGCAAATCGCTGTGGGCTAAAATATGTATTTATATGTAAAATATGTATGTATGTAAAATATGTATGTATATGTGTAATATGTATTTTAAAAAGCAAAAAGAGCAAAAATTTTCTAAGCAAGGACAAGGTAAAAAGAGCTGCACTTTGCTAAGCAAAGAGCCGCATTTGGCTCAAAGAGCCACGTTTGCCCACCGCTGGTATATAAATTTTTAATTAGATAATTATTTAATAAATTTTACTATAGTAGGAGCTTGCAAATCTCTGGAAAATCTCTTCCCGTATATACAATGTAAATAATAATGCTGAATATGTTGCATGTATTCCTTTTGTTGACATGCATATATTTTATGCATGACTAGCCAATGCCCGCTTACTTCGCGGCGCCTAATAAGAGCTTTTGCGTTGGCCAATGCAAAAGAGCGTTTAAAAACAAAGATAGTCTGTAAAGTCAAAATTTTTGATTTAAGTTGAAACCATTAAGGC